ACATACATACATACATACATACATATATATACAGGGTACTTGCACACAGCTGCATATGCTGTAGGCGCTTACCTGAATCACAAAGGGTTTCAAACTGGCGGTGGATGTGAGTTGGATGATATCGCCCAGACCAGCAGCTGCCACCTCGCGCGTCTCAGGACTGCCGTAGATTAGACCGTGCAAGAACATGGGCAGGATGGGACTAATGCCTGAGAGGGTTAGGTGGGGAATATGATGCATGTATTAGCACATGGGCAAGATGGGACTAATACGTGAGAGGGTTAGGTGGGATATATGATGCATACATGGGCACTTTTCCTCCGCTTACTAATATGCTTAAATTCAGCGGGTAGTGTTTCTTGAGCTGAGGTCAAAGTTAAGTCCGAAAACTTGTAGTATTTGATTTTGTAAGAACAGACATAATATCCGAATTAACGTCCATGAGCCAACATGTGTTTAAAAATTGCCGAAACAATATTGCCACACAAGCAGCTGCAATAAACTTCCGAAGTCACGCGTTTTGCTAGTCATTAAAGATTCGTGGTTCTACAAGTAGACGCCTCGTAATCCCAACTATAACAATAAAAAAATATCGTTAGATTAAGTGGCACTCAACCAATGGGACTAATGCCTGAGAGGGTTAGGTGGGGTATAGGGTACATTTTTTAGCACATGGGCAGGATGGGACTAATGCTTGAGAGGGTTAGGTGGGGTATAGGGTGCATGTATTAGCACATGGGCAGGATGGAACTAACGCCTGAGAGGGTTAGGTGGGGTATAGGATGCATGTATTAGCACATGGGCAGGATGGGACTAATGCCTGAGAGGGTTAGGTGGAGTATAGGATGCATGTATTAGCACATGGGCAGGATGGGACTAATGCCTGAGTGGGTTAGGTGGGGTATATTTTGCATGTATTCGCACATGGGCAGGATGGGACTAATGCCTGAGAGGGTTAGGTGGGATATAGGATGCATGTATTAGCACATGGGCAGGATTTAACCAATGTACACACATGTACTAGATGAACCATCCACTCCCATCCACCAACATATCCGCCCACGCCCACATGTCACGTGTGTTGGTCTGCATGTGTTGGTCTGCAGCCCCTTCGTGCTTACCCTTGGGCAGATTGAACCCGGGCAATTCGTCCACAGACTCGCGAGATCCCTTCTTGTGTGATGCCAACGAGATGGTCTTTCGGATCTGTGGGGTGATCACCAACAGAAGTATATATCGTTAGAATCCATCGTTAACGCCAGGTGCGCTGTTGCATCAATAGTCCCTGGCCCCACTACTAGGACCGATATAACCCTGTCATTCGACGCTGTACTATTCCTATAACTCGCACCGATTCGCTTATGTTCATAGACACTCCGGTGCACGCACAACACCCATAGCGTACCATTGGCAAGAAGTCGTCCTGATCTTCCTTTGCAATGGTGGCTGTGACGGCCTTGGTCGCATCCCATCCAGCTAGCACACACGCTTCGTTGGGATCGTTGAACAGATACAGCAGTTTAGACAGCAGAGTCTCGGTATAGCTCTGGCGATACAGAAAAGAAGAGGACGCGTGAACAACGCAGTGCATACTCAATGGGCGAGTGTTACTCTATTACTCTATTGGTGAGTGGCTGGTTAGATTGTGGGGTAGGTGGTTGGTGAGTGGCTGGTTAGATTGTGGGGTAGGTGGTTGGCTAGATTGTGGGATAGGTGGTTGGTGAGTGGCTGGCTAGATTGTGGGGTAGGTGTTTGGTGAGTGGTTGGCTGGTTAGATTGTGGGGTAGGTGGTTGGTGAGTGGCTGGTTAGATTGTGGGGTAGGTGGTTGGTGAGTTGTTGGTTAGATTGTGGGGTA